TTCATCTCAAAAGGTCTCCTCAGGTGAAGTCTGGGGCACATCTAAAGTAGGTGACCAATCCTGAACGAGTCTACTTGGAATCCTACTCAGGTCGATTCCATGGGGCTTCCTCCTCCAGGGAAAGTGTTCTTGGGATTCTGAGGTACGAGCTTTGTGGAGTAACTTTAAGACGGTGTAATCCACCCATGAAAGGCTTATTGTACAGAGATTCTAAACCACACAAATCTCTTGAGGCCAGCCATGTGCTCGAATCTGGTCTTCAACGGCCCTGTTCACACGAGACGTTTTGGGCCGGGAGAGGGACGGATCGGGGCCGGAGCAAACGGGCGCGATCCCACAGCAACATCTGGGAATCGTGCTGCGCCCGTTCCCAATCCGCCCCTCCCGGCCAAACCCCGCAGCAATGGTTCTTTCCGAAAGGCTGAATCACTGCTGGCCGTGGGATCACTGGCGCGTCTTTCCGCCGGCGCATCCCCGGCCCCCGGCCGTACTGCGCATGCTCGAGCATGCACAGTTCAGCAGCCTCCCCCTCCCAATCGTCTCTTCCTCCCTGGCATCTGATCGTGCCGGGGAACAACGGCGCCGCGGCTCAGGGGATCGTGGGATCCCGCTGCGGCGTCTCTTTTTTGGTGCGGCTTTTAAAAGCCGCACTTTGGCCAGTGTTTTCCCTGCCGTGTGGCAGGGGCCTATATAATTCTGAGGGCTTCACAAGCTCAGTGAAAGAACAATATCGAGAGTCTTTATCCATTTACAGCGGGGTCACCAACCCTTTTGAACTTGTACGAATCATTAAAATTCTGACACGGCATAGTGGGTGCAAGCCACAAAATGGCTGCCGCCAGAGGTGGAGCTAGCCACAAAATGGCTGCCGCCAGAGGTGGAGCTAGCCACAAAATGGCTGCAGCCAGAGGTGGAGCTAGCCACAAAATCCCTGCCACACCCTTCCTTCTGTCACACAGTGAAGTTCATTGTGCTGTGGTAGCAACTGCTACCAAAGCAAGGGGGAAAAAAGTAAATATCTGCAAGCCAATCAAATCTCCAGTGGCTGATCAGAAGCCTTGCTGGGGGAAAACCCTACCTGACCCGCCCCGCTTTCTAAAGACACTTGGTGGGCACGAGGAAAGCTGCCCACGGGCGCCATGTTGGGGACCTCTGAGTTAAAGCATCATTCACCGAGTTACGTTGTTTCCCCCCCAGTCAAACGAAGAATCATACTTACATATTCAGTCTCCTGCTTGGACTCTGAAGAGAAATTCAGGGTGTCTGTGCTCTGTGAATCGTACTTGTAACGCTGGGTATTTTTGGTTTGCTCTTTCCTGATGATGTCTATTTTGGTGTAGTGGGCATGCGACTTGGAATCCGACACCCTGTGCGTGTTGGGGACAGACTGATTCTCTGTGCTGCTGAAGTTCTGGTCCTCCTCTGAATCGCTGGAGTTGCCTTCAAGGGGAAAAAAAAACACAACAGACCGGTCAATAAAATTGAGTTAGACCCAACTAGAGATTCCCTTGCTCGAAAGCCAGTCGAGTCCGACTCTAGGGTTGCGGTGCTCATCTCCGTTTCAAAGCCGAAGAGCCAGCGCTGTCCGAAGACGTTTCTGTGGTCATGTGGCCGGCATGACTTAACACCAAGGCGCACGGAACGCTGTTCCCTTCCCACCAAAGTGGTACCTATTTATCTACTTGCAATTTCTTGCTTTCGAACTGCTAGTTTGGCAGGAGCTGGGGCCAGAGACGGGAGCTCACTTCGTCATGCGGCACACTCGGGTCTCGAACTGCTGAACTACCGACCTTCCACGGATTGGGGCTGCAGCAAACGGGTGCGATCCCACAGCAACATCTTGAGCCACCGCAGCTCCTGGACCCCACTACTTGCTAATAATAATCAACAACTGCTTGTCCACGTGCTTCCTCTGTTGTGGCCACCACCTACCCCTCCCCTGGCCTTTCGCAAACTTGCGAAACGGATCTATTCAAGAGGGCTCTTCTGTGCAGGCAACAGAGTCGCACTGCGCAAAGTGGTTTTTCAAACTTGCCTGGATAAATGATTACAGACTGTGATCTATACTGCTGCATATAGCTGATTGCAAGTAGGATCCTACTTAAGTGATTGCTGTACCACTTACATGCATCATGTGAACGCTTATGCTATGCTTTGGTTCTTTCTGGTGGTTCCGGATTTCTAAAATCCTAACGCAATGGTTATTGCATGACCCATTTTGTTGAACGTCCTGACCAGTGTTCCCTCTAAGCTGAGTTAGTGTGAGCTAGCTCACAGTTCTTTAGCCTCTGGCTCACACATTTTTGTCTCAGCTCAGGAAGGAGGGCGCCAGAGCAAACTAATTTATGCAATAGCCAAATCACTTGCTCACAGCTTTAACGCCAGTAGCTCACAAAGTAGAATTTTGGCTCACAAGACTCCACAGCTTAGAGGGGACATTGGTCCTGACTCACTATACACCTTGAGTCCCCGGAAGAAAGGCGGAATATACATCACCTGAATAAATACAGACAAAATACACTTTTGCCTTTAAGAAATCTTTCAGAAGATGACTGTATTTCCTAGCTGGATCCCATAGGGAATGTTACAGATCAACAAGCACGCACACAAAATCACTGGTCCCTACCAAGAAGAATTCTGACTGAGGGAAAACATCAAGGGGAACAGCGGAGATGAAAAGGAACAAGAAAAGAACAAAGAAACTGCACAAACCTGGGCTAATTTCAGACATATATATACCATTACTGGCTACCTCGGCCACAATGCTTACACCGGCCACTTCTTCTGGAGTAGCCTGGTGAAGTAAGCGACTCTATTTTAGAAGAAGTGGTTTGCCAACAGCACCCTCAAGTATCATATAGACAGCTGGATCTATTTCCTGAACAGAAAGCGTTCACTGTCTTCCCGGCTGAAGAGACCTAGTGACTTTTTCAACCTATCATTCCACCGTTATTATTGGGTACTGGGAGCTTGTGTATCTTGTGCTTATATTTAGACCTTTGAAAACGCTCCTATAAGCTCTAAATTGATTTGTTTTCTCAGTCGTAATTTTTAAACCACGGGCAACGGAGCGACTCGGCTTCTCTCGTGTCTGGAGGCGCACTTCAGTTTCCCACCGGGAGAGGGCATCATGCACACTGGTCCTGATTCCTTTTGAAAGCCAGAACCCAGATCGGAAAAACCCAGCCAGCAACTTTACCAGTGCAAACCCTGTACAGAAAACACAACCCGTTCGAAGTGATCTGTTCCTGACTAAATAACAACCGACTCTTTGCACAAAAAAGAACCGTTGTAGCATTATTATCTGTGACGGCTATGAATAAGAACTGTACTTTCTCTCTGCTATGGGATACGAACAATACATCATATTTTCTTACCTACACACTCCAGTTTACTTGAATGGGTATTATTACGAACCACTGCTGCAGTTGTTAACCTCAGCTTTCACAAAATTTGCTGAATAACGTCACACCTGATGGTACCTAGCATTTAATTCATAGTTGGCAACATAGCTGTGCTATGGTTGTGGTAGTCAAAGGTAAAGGTAAAGGTTCCCTTGCTCGAAAGCCAGTCGAGTCCGACTCTAGGGTTGTGGTGCTCATCTCTGTTTCAAAGCCGAAGAGCCAGCGCTGTCCGAAGACGTTTCCGTGGCCATGTGGCCGGCATGACTAAACACCAAGGCGCACGGAACGCTGTTACCTTCCCATCGAAGTGGTACCTATTTCTCTACTTGCAATTTCTTGCTTTCGAACGGCTAGGTTGGCAGGAGCTGGAATTAGAGACGGGAGCTCACTCCGTCATGCGGCAACTCGGGTCTTGAACTGCTGTACTACTGACCTTCCACAGCCTGCAGTTCAGCGTCTTAACCACTTGAGCCACCACAGCTTATTTGATTTTTGCTATCATCCATCTATCCTTATATCCATCCATCCTTCTATCCATCCATTTATCATATTAAATGTCACCAGTTTGTTGTAGTGGTTAAGTACGCGGACTCTAATCTGGGAGAACTGGGTTTGATTCCCCACTCCTCCACTTGCAGCTGCTGGATGACCTTGGGCAAGCCATAGTTCTGACCAGAGCTGTCCTTGAAAGGGCAGTTCTTGAAAGAGCTCTCTCAGCCCCGCCTACCTCACAGGGTGTCTGTTGTGGGGAGGGGAGGGGAAGGGAGTTTGCAAGCCACTCTGAGACTCTGAGTGAAGGGCAGGGTAGAAAACCAATCTTCTTCTTTCTCCCCAATGGGGGCACAAAGTGGCTTACATTCCTCTCCCCTCCTCCATTTTTGTTCTTCACAACAACCTTGTGAAGTAGGTTAGGATGAGAGTGGGTGACTGGCCCAAAGTCACCCAATGAGCTTCCACAGTGGGGCTTCGAACCTGGGTCTCCAAGCTGCTTGTTCAACACTCTTAACCACTATACTACACTGGCTCTCAGTTAATACACTGGCTGTGAGTTACTAGTTTAAAAAAAAACATGTTTCATAAAAGCGGTGTTTTAAAATACGGGCAGGCGTGGTGTTTCCATAAGAGGCACGACTTTACCTTGTTTTCCTTTTCCAGGGTAACTGCAGTCAACTGCCACATCTTAGGAGTATTTTTTTTAAGTTAGTATCTCTTCAGACCATCTGGAGGCCTGCCTTTCAGCACGCTGGCTGGAGACCACCAGTGGCACTAACCCAAGGACTCTGCGGTCCCTAAGCCCGTGGGCAGGACTCAGGGGTCATTTCCTGCAGAAGCGCACAGGAGCAGAGCTCCGGCAGTAAAGAGCCCAGGGGGCGGGCACATGCAACAAGCCCCACCCCTTGCTCCCAGCAGCCCTCAGTCAGAGCAAGAAGCAGCCAGGTAAGTTGCAGAGCTCCCCCCACCCCGGTCCAAAACAGTTCAGTGGCACAGTGGCACCTTTAAGGCCAAGGTTTATTCAGGTACAAGCTCTCCCTCCTCTGCGAGGACAGATCTGCACGCCCCCCCCCCCAATAGCTAGCAATCCAAAACAGTCCAGTGGAGCCTGAGCGGTGGGTGTTGCCTTCTGACACACTTCCGGTGATGTCAGGGTGTGTGGCATATGCAAATAAGTTATGCTAATGAGCTCCTGCACCTCTTTTTCCACAAAATGACCCCTGCTCTAGACTAACTTCTAAGTCTGACCACCAATGCTGATAGTAAAACCGAGAACAAGGTCTTTATTCAAAACACTCAGCAGGCCAAAAGATTTAGCACTCTGGGTCAAAGTTCAGGCATTACAGTTGGAATAGAGCAAGTGGGAAAGGACCAAAGCTAGTCTTCAACTGTGTCACTGGTTGTCACCCACGGACACTATTGGCAAATAAATCCCAATTTCCAATGCATACATGGTTAGAGGACGCAGATTGAACGGGTTTCTATTACATGTTTCTGCGACGTTCAAACTTTTGACATGCCTCTTGAAATCTGTCCTCATAGTCATTTCCCTAGCAAATGGCTATCCCAGGCCAGAATTTTAAAAACATGGTGACTCGCTTAGCAGATTTTTTTTTACAAGCATCCCATGTTTGAGCTCCTGCACCTCTTTTTCCACAAAATGACCCCTGCTCTAGACTAACTTCTAAGTCTGACCACCAATGCTGATAGTAAAACCGAGAACAAGGTCTTTATTCAAAACACTCAGCAGGCCAAAAGATTTAGCACTCTGGGTCAAAGTTCAGGCATTACAGTTGGAATAGAGCAAGTGGGAAAGGACCAAAGCTAGTCTTCAACTGTGTCACTGGTTGTCACCCACGGACACTATTGGCAAATAAATCCCAATTTCCAATGCATACATGGTTAGAGGACGCAGACTGAACGGGTTTCTATTACACATTTCTGCAACGTTTAAACTTTTGACATACCTCTTGAAATCTGTCCTCATAGTTTCCCTAGCAAATGGCTATAAGAGGCCAGAATTTTAAAAACATGGTGACTCGCTTTGTAGATTTTTTTTTTTACAAGCATCCCATGTTACTTGTGCAGATTCCAAGAACACTTTAGCATTATTATTAGATAACAACTGATTTAATTTACGGAATCTGTCCTATAAAGATATCCAGGGCTTTTTTTGTAGAAAAAGCCCAGCAGGAACGCATTAGCATAATAGGCCACACCCAACAGCAGAAACCATTAGCATATTAGGCCACACCGCTGACAGCACAGCTCATTAGCATAATAGGCCACACTCCACATGTTACCAGAAGTGTGGTCATCCAACCACACCCACCTTTTGCTTCTTATTCTGTTTTTTGTTGTCAAAACCCTGGGCTTTTTTTGTAGCAGGAACTCCTTTGCATGTTAGGCCACACACCCCTAATGTAGCCAATCCTAATGAGTGTCTGCTGTTAGGTGTGGCCTATTATGCTAATGAGTTCCTGCTGGGCGTGGCCAACTCAGGAGTCAGCCGGAACTCCGTTCCTGCCCAAAAATAGCCCTGAAGATATCTTAAATCATTCCAAAATGCTTTTCCCCCCCTTTAAACTCCAATTCCAAACACATTAAAATATGCCTCTCTGAATAGGCAGGCCTTTATAAAGCTAAGAGCTGTTTCAATGGCATCCCCTTGTTTTATACAATCTTTGCCAAGGTGAATGACATATCCACTCCGAGTCGGGGGGGGTGGTGCTTATCAAAGCAGCCTCTCCCTTTAGGGGGTTTTATTTCTTCCTTTGGGGGGGGGGGGGGGGCTTGGGGGGGGGGGGGGTGTGTGTTAAACCATCTGAATACCAAAAGGCCCTAACCTATATTACTGCAGTGACCTAATTCTGCCACCTGCACAATTAGCTGGGGGACTCTTGTGATCTAACAGGGGGGTGGAATGGATACATAACACTGCATGAAAGGGACAATGCAGCAGTTGCTAAACATTCTGCTTTCAAGAACTGGGATTTATAGGGGAATGTTGTTAGTCCTTAAACAGGAAGGCAGTACATCTGGCACTGCTCTTTACCCTTGTTGCCTTTGGATTTGTAGCCTGCCTCATGGGGTAGGTTATGAAAAGCAGGAACATGGCCAGTCAGGGTTGCCAAGTCTCCCTTCCCACCGGAGGGGGGTGGGTGGAATTGGGGGGGGGGAAGTAGGGTTACCAGCGCCAGCTTGAGAAACTCCTGGAGATTTGGGGACGGAGCCTGGGCAGGACAGGGACCTCAGTGGCGTACAATACCATAAAGTCCACCCTCCAAAGCAGCCATTTTCTCCAGGAGAGCTGATCTCTGTAGTCTGGGAATGAGCTGTAATTCCGGGGGATCCCCAGGTCCCACCTGGAGGCTGGCATCCCTACTGCCAATGGCCACCCTAGTTAGGCCCCGGTCACACGGCAAAGTTGCCGCGGGAGAGGCACGGAATGTGGGTGGATTATCCAGGTGTGATCACACCCCAACATCTGGGAAGTGGAGCGCACCCGTGGCTTACCGCCGACAATGCGAGTTAAAAAACGAGTACCTCCAAGGTACTAGGAAACGTTTGCCACGGGCTGCCTCCAGACTCCCGTGGTGTGATCGCGCCGGAGCGCGGCATTCCCCTCTGGTCCCTCGTTTACCCACCGGCGCCGAGGGAAGGACCCGTGGTGTGCCGCCGGCGCATCTGATCGCGTAATCGCGCATCAAACTGCGCCGGGGCAATTAGCCACGCCTCCCCCCCTCATGATTCCGGCCTGTGTGACCAGGGCCTTAATTTCAAATGTAAGTAGTTGTTTGAACACAGGCGGGGCCAGCTTTCTAAGCCCCACCCCCCACATGAGAGGCCGTGGCTCAAGGGCAGAGCCTCTGCTCGGCAGGCAGGAGGTCCCAGGTTCAATCCCTGGCACCTCCAATGAAAGGGATCAGGTAGTAGGTGATGGGAAAGACCTCCATCCGAGACCCTGCAGAACGGCTACAGATCTGAGTGAAGGCAGCGGAAAGCTTGGCTTTGTCTTTAAAAAAAAGGCTTCCTTTCCAGTTGCCACCATGCAGGAGGAGTCATGCATTTATAACAGATAACATGTCATGGAATGACAGCCAGCGGGGTGTAGCAGTTAAGAGTGCTGGACCAATAGCTGGGAGACTCAGGTTCGAAACCCCACCTGTGCCCTGGAAGCTTGTTGGGGGACCTTGGGCTACTCACATGCTCTCAGCCCAGCCTACCTCACAGGGTTGTGGTGAGGATAAAACGGAGGCAAGGCGAACCATGTAAGCTGCTTTGTGCCTCCACCGGAAGAGAAGCAGGAGACAGATGCGTTCAACGAAAACAAGTAAAAGCAAAGATGTCGTTTCGCTGCAGGGACTAATGCCAGAGTAGACCAACTCCCAACCTTCTTGCTGTTCTGAGAAAATGTATTTTAAAAAAAAAGAAAAGAAGGAAGTCGTTCCCACCATCAGTGAGAGAATTCCCTCTGAAGTGGGTTCCTCCCGCAACTCATCTCGCCGGTGGGGACTGGCTTTTGAACAGAACAGTCCTGCAACTAAGAAACTGTCTTTAGCCGCTCCTTTCTAAAGTCACAATTCTCAGTTCCCTTTAAAGACAAAGCTCAGTTTTAAAACCACCCCTTGGGTGCATCAGCATCACCTATGATCGCTTCCCATACAGCAGAGCGGAAGTTCTAAGGACTCTCCCAAGGTTGTCACGTCCCACCCTACTCCCTGGGGGCTGGCATCTCAATAAAGCTGACATACGACCCGGCCTGCCTATATTAGCACACTGTTGTGCTTCAGTCCGCCACTTTCCAAAGCCCTCTGCCGTTTCCCCCCCTCCCTTTCCTCTCCCACTTTCTAGGAACTTCACAAACAAATCGTTTGGATATAATTTACTGAGCTGGCAAAGCAGTTTTTGCCAAGTCATTCATTCCTCCAGGAAGGCTCCTGAGACTGTTAGCGGCCTCTGCCTTATTCCCAGCTTTGGGGGAGAAGGATTCGGAGGCATGTGACCCCCCCCCCCATACTAGAACTTTAAAAATATATATATTATCCAGAGTTTGACAGAATTGCACAAAAGACTGTGAAGAGTCATTTTTAACAGACAAGGAATCGATTCTTTTCAGACCAAACAAGCTTTTGTTAGAACCATTTCACTGTTTCACATACATTCTATTCCCTTCCCCCCTCCAAACCAAGGGACATTTTACACCTGGATCTCTCTCCTCCCTGCCCCATTTTAACACTGAATTCAAGTAAAGCGTTTTGGCAACACATGCACATCCCCCCCCCAAACTGAGTTGTCCCCAGGATATTTTAGACATGAACACAAACAGAACACCAGGTGGTGATACTGCAGAGTAAACTTTACACACTCTCCGAACAGCAGGGGCTGAAGTTGCACAGGAAGTCACACACACCCTCATCAGCAATGAACACAGCAAAGACCAATGCATGCGCGTGCGCAGAGGCACACACAGACACACACACAGAGAGAGACAAGCAGTAGCTGGATCCAAGAATCACTGATAAGAACAAACAAGCAAAGTTTGAGTTCAGTGGCTACTTTACGACCAACGGAAGTTTAATTCTGGGTCGAAGTTTTTGTGTGCACGCACGCTTCTTCACCTGACGTGTGCCTGCACACGAACGCTGAGACCCAGACCCAGAATTAAGACTTTATTAGTCTTAAAGGTGCCACTGGACTCAAACTTTGTTCTGTTGCTTCACACCAACAGGGCTACCCACCTGATAAGAAGGTCTACTAACTCTGTCAAAGACTATTTTGCAGAGCGGCGGATACTGATCACATACCCACATATGTGCCTCAAGAGCTGAAGCTGCGCGGGAATTACATGTACACACGCAGGGCTTAAAAGTGCACAGGAAGTCACACACCTGCGCAACGGTAAAGCTTAGAAGTTTCTAAGTTATTTCACTCACCCTGCAGAGAAACTATTGCCTGCACAAACACAAAAGAGAGATCTACGTTTAAGGGAGCTGTTAGACAGGGGCAATGCTTGTACACTTGGGCAATACACATCCTTAAAGTGTATAATGTTGCACAGTGCGCAGAACACTCTCTTTACACACACACACACACACACACACACAACTTCTTTGTATAGCTACCCCCACATGTTGGGAGACCCAGGCTTAATATTTCTTTATCTGGCTATTTATACCCTGCTTTCCTCTCCACTGCCCCCCCCGCCAAAGCTGTTTTCCTCTTCACTACTGTATCCTCACAACAGCCCTGTGAGGTAGGAGAGGTAAGACTGTGCAACTGGCCCAAGATCACCCATCCAGCTCCCACAGCAGAGTGGAGATTCCAACTCGGGTCTGCCAAACCCACCACTGCCCTCTGCCTAGGTGACTGTGGACTACTCTGTTGGCCTTACCTACCTCACTGGGTTGTCGTGGGGATGCAAAAGGAGGAAGGGGAAAGAGCGTACACCACCATGGAAAGCAACTCAGAGGAAAGGCGAGAGACAAGGAGGTACGGAACAAAGAAATACTCCCCCCCACGCCCCCTTCGCTGACCAGCTTAGGGTCGCCAGCCTCCAGGTGGTGCCTGGAGACAAACCCCATGCCTGGAGCTCCCCGGGGCCAATTTTAAACTCGATTTTTCAGGGGTGCAGGGGCCTCGTCCGGATCGGGACCCGAGAGCAAAAGCAGGAACAGTTCTCCCCCCCCCCCCCCGGCAGCCAGGAAGGACGGTGCGAGCGGGAAAAGCGAAAGCCCACCCCCTCCTGGCGTTGCCAACCTCTCAGCGGGGGCCTGGAGACCTCCGGGAATCACAACAGCTCTCCAGACCAATGTTCTACTTTGTGAGCTCCTGGCATTAAAGTTGTGGGCGAGCTATTCGGCTGCCGCATCAATTAGTTTGCTCTGGAGCCCATCCCTTCCTGAGCGAAGGCAAAAGTGTGTGAGCCGGAGGCTAGGAAACGGTGAGCTAGCTCAGACTCACTCAGCTTAGAGGGAACACTGCTCCCGACGCCGGAGGCCCATCCCACTGGAGGCCACGGCTGCTTCGGAGGGTCTCCTCCAGCGAGGTCCCTCCCGCCCTCC